ACACCCGGGCGCCCCCCCTGGTTCGGGCCTGGAAGCCAAACGCGGCGGCAGGGAAGCTGGCTTCCCTCACTCCTCAACGCCTTGCGTCACCGATTTGCCACCTTAGGCGCTCGTGAAATATTTTCATTTATGCCTCTATGGGCAGAAGGTAGGTTTTTTGTTTATACTATCTGGGAATAGCAGAAAGTACTTCAGAACAGACACACTTTCCGTGTGTCAGTACTGACTTAGAGGACCTCAACCTGCGACGCAAGCAGAGCCCTCACATTGCAGATAACAAAACGGAGACACTAGCAACTCTTAAGATTGAGCCCGAGATCTGTTATCATAATTAGCATATTTTCAGAACCGACCAATTTAAAACAGGGTAACAAGCAAGAGATGACGTCATGTTTTCTTCTGTAAGTTACTGAGGGGAAATTAAAAAAGAAAGGAAAGAACAAGAGCAAGCTCACCAATACTGCATTTAAAATATATTTATGCTGCTCTGGACCAAAATACAAATTCGTCATTTGTAATTTCACCTGACTTCCCAAGTTCTTCTAGAACAAATTCTATCTTCTTATAAACCTTTAAAATTCCATAGGTGGCTCCTTACCAGTAGGTGCTTACGTACAGCACCTCATCCCAACGGGTTTCATATATCTGTATGCATGCAACGCTTCATATATGATGCGGAAAGAAAAAAAATTTTCAAAACAGATGTACAGCTGGATTAAGGAGATGTAATAAAAGGCAATAAGGCTAATGTCTGTAACTGATGTCGCTCCTACCAAGCCATTAGAGGAGATGTCAAGTTTCTCACAAGGTGCCCGAGATGTACTTTCTGACAAGAAACATGCCAATTTCAGATCTCTACCGGAGCCATTTTCTTTTATAAGTTCTTATTTCATTAAGTTGCCTGAATCAACCTACTGTTCTCTTCCACAAGAAGAACTTACTCAACCCCCTGACAAGGATCTAAGATGCTACAATCCTCCCCAATCCACAAAGCAAATGCCCTAGAGTCAGTTAATCCTGGAGGAAGGGAGAACAGTCACTATTTCCCTCAGCTCAACGGATGACACGCAGTCATTAGGACTCATCCTAAAACACAGACTTTCCTGCTCAAAGGATTTCATTTCAACACGAGCAGGACTGGACAACTAGTTCCACAATATTACATCACAACCAGAAAACATCATCTGGCTTGCCAGCAAATATTCCTTTAGGGAATCAAGGTAAAATTGACTATCCCTAAAAACTCCTTAACAGAAATAAGACTGACCATCAGCATTACCTACACTTCAAGAGCACCAAGTGCCCTGTAGTTAAACATCGAAAAATACGTACAAGCTCTTTCTGGATCTTTCCGAGTTGGCAAATGACACTGGGGTATCCAGTGTCAGCCAAGGCTCCCTGACAACAAGCAGATGTGCAGACTGACTGAAGTAAACACATTTTGCTTACGTGCTGTCCCATCTCTCTCTGATCTACACTGATTTGTCTGCATGAGGACTGCTGGACCGCTGGCAGAAATCTTTACACTGGTCCACATGAACTGGCGTGGCCCTCAACATTATTAGATGTGCACCCTCATTCTCCTTCCTAGTTTTCATACAAGGGTAGAACCGAGGACAATCTGCAATGATTTGGGGATCTGCCAGTTATCTGCAACTGTGCGTATAAAGCTGGGGGAATTCACTTCCCTTCCTCCTTTTCCTAGGAATAACTTCACTGATATCCTCTCACTGACACCCGTACCTCTGCAGTTCCCTTACCGTCAACCAGGATCTCTGAACAGCCGAACGGCAAGGAGGAAAGCAAGTGGCCTGCGTTCTGCACATCTGTCAGTAAGATGCTTCAAGGCATACAACGGTTTTAGCACTGAACGGCAAGGGGGATAAACTAAAAATCCCAGAGTCTCCTGCTGTGCAGAGAGGTTTTAAGGGTCCCTTTCTTTCAGCAGAACATGCACAGATGAACCCAACCATCCAAAATAAAGGTGAACGGAACCTGAGACCAGCAAGAGAAATAAGAACTCGTGAACTCAACTCACGCTCTTCTTCTACCTCTTCTCAAATCCCTCCCAGCCTACTATGGAACATCACTTATCAAAATCGTTTTACTGTCCGTTCATCTTTTCAAACAATCTAATTATTAAAAGCAGAGGATGTTGTTGCTGTTTAAACAGGAAAAGGCACTGTATTAAATCTGAGGAAACCCATGGCATGGCAATTCTAATATACTCCATTAGCTGTAACCTTAGCCTTAACAATACATATCAAATCTATGGATGAACACTACTGCCATTTGCCACAACAATGATTGCCCTGAAGATACCAAATTTTGCAAAGTATAAAAATAAAAATCTATTGCATTCAGCCTTTGAGTTGAAACGTTCATTGTGGTTTGTGCCTTACTTAACTTTCTCATAACCATCTGTAGGAAAAAAGAGGTGAAGAGGATATCATTTGATATTTGCTACGCAATAATTTTCCTCAGCGTCTCAAAAATGCCTTCAGGACGTCTTTTTCACACACACTGTAGCATTTTTGGAAGGTGAAACTGTGAAGCATAAACCCTTGGCTTGTGTAGGCTAAGCTGTTGCATAAATTTAAAATGTTTCTATATTTATTTTTCATCATTAAAAATTAGTTTAATGTAACGACCCGGAACATTTGGGAGCAGAACAGAATTTCAGAGCATCGTTTACACTGATTAAAGAGGTAGACTGATGAGAACCGGCCTTGAGAATTCCTCTCCCACCTAACACTGTTAGTAGTTTTAACAACATATGTTAAAAGCCTAACTTAAACACTACAGGGGAGCTACTATTTATTTAGCTATGCCAAGATGGGCTGAAGTACAAACTATTTTACCTTCACTGTCATTTCATGTTGTGTTATTTAAAGAGAAGATTGTTCTCTTTAGTGAAGATGCAACACTG